GTGAACTTCAGATTAGGAAGTCCTCTGACAAGATTAAGTTTATTAATCTGAGATATACATCTTATATTAATATGACCTAATCTTCTGTGTCAGACCCATTGCTCCTCATTAACAGACAAGAGACATTTAACATTCTGAACCTTAAGTTCTGAAAGATTTATTTTATAAATGTTGTTCTTCCTCTTTCCACTAAATAGGATTGAGCCATCCTTTTGACTAATAGCTTTACAACATTTTTGATTAAAGGTTATGTCATAACCATTGTCACTTAATTGACTTATGGACAATAGATTATGCTTTAATCCTTCTACAAGTAAAACATTAGTAATAGAGGGAAGATTACCATTTCCAATAGTGTCAGATCCAATGATCTTGCCCTTCTGATTCCCTCCAAATTTCACATCACCTCCAGATCTAAGCTCCAGACTTTGGAACATAAACCTTTCTCCTGTCATGTGTCGCGAGCATCCAGAGTCCAGGTACCATGATTGGCGTCCTGACCTTACTGCTAAGAACATCTGCAACATGAATTATTTTACTTTTAGGTACCCAGATCTTCTTGGGTCCTTTTGGGTTAGTTGTTATGAAGGTTTGTCTAAACTTCTGTTTTTCAACATAAGGTTTATTCTGACTAGCCTTATATTTAAACACATGAATGTTCTTTTCAGAACGAGTGTGTTCAATATCATTCAAGTGACCAAATTTAAAGTGGGAATATAAAGGAGTCTTTTTTATGATAATTTTATCAACAGGTTTTGCATTTAAATCCTTTCCAGAGAAAGATTTATATCCAATTCCTTTTCTGTTATTTGTGCTAACTCCATAGATCATAGAAGCCATTTTGCTTTTGTCTATGCTTTTAGCAAGAAACTTCTGAAAGCTGTAATCATATTTTTCCAAAATATTTTTGCATTCAGACTTAGTTTCAGAATCAAAGTCTTGTTGAGCTAATTCAGAATCATTTTTCAATCTTAAGTTCTTTTCATTTAGCTCAGCTACTTCTGATTTGAGAATATTATTCTCAGATACAAGATTGCTTTGACGCTTCTTGTATTTGAGCTTAATATTGTTATAGCTCTTAAAACTTCTGATAACACTTTGATAAGTTCATCTTTAGTGAGTTTAGCCATTACCTCTTCAGCGTCAGAGTCAGATTCAGATCCTGAAATTCCTTCCTCCTAATCTTCTATGTCTGCCATCAATGCTACGTTGGCACATTCCTCTTCTGACTCAGATTCAGATTCAGATGTATCTGAATCATCCCAGGTTACCATTAGAACCTTCTTCTTCTTATCAGATTTTCTTTTAGGCTTTTCTTTCAACAATTTTGGACATTCATTTTTGTAATGCCCTGGTTCTTTACATTCGTAGCAGACAACCTCCTTTTTGCCAGATCTTCTGTGTCCAGAAGATTCTTTTCTTTGGTCAGGCTTCCTGAAGTTTCTGAACTTCTTTCCTTTATGCTTCCAGAGTTTGTTTATTCTTTTGGACAGCATGGATAGTTCATCTTCATCTTCAGATGAGGATTCTTCAGAGCTTTCCTCTATTACCTGCAATATTTTAGCAGATTTATTAGATTTTAAGGCAATTGATTTACCTTTCTTTTGAGGTTCATCTTCCTCAAGTTCAATTTCATGACTCCTCAGTGAATTGATTAGTTCCTCCAAGGAAATCTTGTTCAGATCTTTAGCCATTTTCAGCGCAGTCACCATAGGTCTCCATCTGGTAGGTAAGCTTCTGATGTTCTTTTTCACATGATCGGCAGTAGAATATCCTTTATCCAGAACCTTTAGTCCAACTGTAAGTATTTAAAATCTGGAGAACATAGCTTCAACAGATTCAACTTCTTCCATCTTGAAGGCTTCATACTTCTGAATTAGAGCCAGAGCCTTTGTTTCCTTGACTTGAGAGTTTCCCTCATGAGTCATCTTCAAGGACTCAAACATATCAAATGCAGTTTCTCTATTTGTGATCTTTTCATACTCAGTGTGAGATATTTCATTTAACAATATTGTTCTAGCCTTGTGGTGATTTCTAAATTCCTTCTTTTGGGCTTCTGTCATAGATTTTCCATCTACTTTCTTGTCATTCCCATCAATGGGATGAACATATCCATCTATGACCAAATCCCATAAATCAGCATCATAACCAAGGAAAAAACTTTCAATCCTGTCTTTCCAATAATCAAATTTCTCCCCATCAAACATAGGGGATTTAGTGCTGATTCTGTCCCTTTCTTCATATTTGTTGTTAATGTTAGATATTGAAGTATCAACCATAGTAACAACCAAATATATATCAAAGTTTTTCTCACTGGATCTTTTCTGTCACTGTGAAGTGGTAGCACACACAGAACCGGAGCTCTGATACCAACTGAAGGTGAGAAAATACTTAGAAGGGGGGTTGAATAAGTATGAAGATAAAAACTTAGAAGTAAAAACTCAAGTATTTTTATTCTGGTTCGTTGAACTCAACTACTCCAGTCCACCCTTTCTAGAGTGATTTGCCTTTCTCAATCAAGGACTTAATCCATTATTTAATCAACTGATTACAATAGTAAGCACTAAGAACAACTGTTCAAAGTCTTCTCAAGAACTACTAATCCTAATTGGATCTTCTTAAGGTTTTCTTACAATCAAATGTAATAACAAATACAAGTGTTAAAATGCTTCTAATAAAGCTTTATCACAACTGTGATTTTTCACTTAAGATTAAGAACAAAGAAATAATTCTAGAAAGAATATATGAGTTGTATGAGAGCTTTGATAATGAATTCTTTTCAAGTATTGCGTCAACTAAAGAAGATGAGTGGAGACTTGCTTTTATAGGCACAGTGATCCAAGAGTTTTTCACGGTGATAAGGGTGTACCAAAAGGTCTGAGCCTTTTTGTCTTCACATCAAGTGACCTCTCCTAGAAGAAGAAAGCACATAGAAATCCTTTTTGTCTGTGTTCTTGTGTCTAGCATAAATAAGGAAAGATTCGTTTGGGTATTCCAACGGACATAATCTTTGAATTCTTCTTCAATAATTTTCAGCAAGAATCATCAGAGTCTAATTTGATCAGAGCCTTCTGATGTTGATCAGAGTTTTGTTGAATCAAAGTCTTTGCAGCAAGTGTGCTTTTAGCGTGTATAAGTTCAGAGCAGAGTTTTGAGTCAGATCCTCAGTACTGACAGTGTTAGTACTATCAGAGTCTTCTGAAGTAACTATGCTTGAAAACTCTTCATACAAAATTCTTCATTGGTTCAGATGCTTCTGACTTGCTTCAGATTCTTCTGGAGCTTCTGCTTCAGATCCTTCTGGAGGCAACGCTTAGAATCTTCTGATGACAGCGTTCAGAATCTTCTAATGGATGCATCTGACGCTTCATAGCCTTGCATATTTCTTATGTTCAGATCTGATTTGCTTCTGAAGTGATATTTACTTTAATATCTGTAGCAAACATTCTCAAGCAAATTTTAGAGTATATAATTCTTAATTACAAAATTTCATAATAGTTATCATCAAAACATAGAGATATTATTAAGAATCAATCTGTGTTCTAACACTTTTTCCTTCAAGCAATCATATTCGTTCCCTTATCAAGCAATAAGATATCAAACACCTTTCATGCCTAAACAACTTAGACGGTTTCCATAAAGTACGATGGATGTAGGGAGTGCTAGCACCTTCTTCTTTCATAACTGACTTCCGAACCTAACATGATTGCGATGACCATACCCTATCCTTTTCCTCACAGGTTTTCTCGATGTTTTCCCTTTCCATTCATGGGAATAAATAAAGTTCGGTGGTGACTCTCATAAGTCTATCCGTGATCGTGCAAACCCTTATTTTGCGCATCGCGAATATCGTATTTTTCGAGGTATGACAGTCACTACTTCTCCTATCTGTCATCCCTCAAAAGGACCCTGATGTTATGCCCGTCATTCAGCTGACGAACGTCGGCCTTTTTAAGTGCGTTGACGGGTTACCCATCGCGCAGGTGATTATCGTCACCCTTGTGCAGAAAGTAAAAACGTATTTTCTGCCATTGTAGCTCATTTGAAGCTGTGATTTCACACCTAGAAAACACAAATGAACCAGAAACGAATTATACATCAATTGTAATGCATTGACATGTTAATTTCACACGAATTCGCAAATAACTTCACCAATTTATCATGAATTAAGGTCATGCTCATGAAAACTCAAACACACCAATTAACAACAATAATTTGCAGATTTCATATATTTTCATCATCGATTAATTTAATATAATACAATACATGAATTTCATACCACAATGAACATCCAAAATAAATTCATCATAGAGAAGGATTAAGGAGTCCTCACTACCCTCTTATAAAATTAACACCCGTAATTGAGTAGTTCTCCCCTACCTTAATTTTTCAGAAAAAACACAATTTCTCACGTGCTCAAACTTTCTAAAACTCTCTAAATCCATCCGATGATCTTTTTATTTAACCTAATTTTAACTTACTAAAATTCCACCTTAATCCAACTTGTTTTTATTTCTCAACACTTACACTACAATTTTTCAAAATTCTATTTTCCATCCTAATGTCACTATTTGTTATTTTATGCTTATTTAATTAACATTCTACAATTTTAATTAAATAAACCAATTATAATAGCCCCTTAACCCCACATACCACGTAGTTATCATTCAAATATATAATTAACACATAGTAAATCATTTAAATAATAAAATAAAACAACAAAAATTGAATTGAATTCTGGATATTACACCACCCACTAGAAAATAACTACTATGAGCATCAAAGTGTAGCCAACTGCTGCTGCACAATGAAATAAGCTCAAACTCTTATTTGGTTCGAATAAATGGCTTACATTAAAAAATGGGGAACTCTTGGTCAAAAGTAATTTGCTTGTGTTTACATTGATTTCCTGATTCCTAGTATACTGAAATAACCTTTTTGTTTTCTCTTGAATAAAACATACATGTAAAGAACAAAGCTAACATCAATATTTGGCGGGTTTATAAATTTATATAGTGCTCCAAATGTTTGGCTCTACTCTTGTTTTTAAGGCTCTTAAAAGCACGTGACTCAAGTTGTCTAATTCTCTCCCTACTAACGCCCATCATTTCCCCAACCTCTTGCAATGTCTTCAGCCTTCCATCGTCCAAACCATATCTCAATCTAATCGCCTCTTTCTCTCTTGGATGCAGGCTGTCTAGTACCTTTTCTATGTCCTTTTTCAATAACTGCTTAATCAGATGTTTTTCAGGTGTTTCAGCTTCTGGATCAGCAAGTATTTCCTGCTCAGAAACACACCAATGTATCAGCAAAATGAATATAATCATATGAAAAATAGCTTCTTATTCTCTGAATAAAAAATTTGAGCAAGACTAGGGACAGACTAAAGGTTTAAGACTCTGGTCGATCCCAATTTTCTGCTCTAGAGATCTCGGAGCTTTTGGGGTCAAATAAACAGCATGAAGCCTCTTCATTGACAGCCCAGTTGCTTCAGCAATTTCTTTATCGTCTGGTTGTCTTCCATTTTCATTGAACAACTGTTTTCTTGCCGCCTTCACTTTGTAAGTTGCCCCCACCATGTGGAACTGTTAAACCAAAAATATTGCAAAGTAGTCAATTATAAATATTAGAACGGTGTTGACTCAAGAAAATTCTAGAATGGGCCACTTTATAGATAGTCCGCAGTGGATTGGTATTTAAAAAACGTCAGAAAATCAAACTGCTGTCAATGCTTCCCCCAGAAGAAGCTCTCGATTTCCTCATCCGCAGGACTGAAATGGTAACCTAACCGATGATTGCTCAACAAGAACAGGCAGAAGCAAATATGAATGCCTCAAAACTCAACTCAGTTTTGCCTTGCTTTTGTCGAACAAACATCAATGAGGACATTGTCTCACCAGCGAGGAAGAGGGGGGCTGCGACTCTATAAGCTTCTACTGTAGGGAGTGACAGAAACTGTTGGAGTGTTGGTGATTTTTAAATATCACCTAGTTAGAACCCGCCTTTCAACATACTTCCTCCATTAAAAAATAACTGTCGTTTAAGGTTTTTGCACGCAAATTAAGGAATACAATGATATTGTCATAAAATATTGTATTTTTACTAAATTAGGCTTATTAATGTATTGGAAATAGTATACAGAATAATAATTATATGACACAATTGGAAAAATAACAATTATTACGACATTGAAAAATGAAAATGACATTCATTTAACAACAATTTTCCCCTAAAACGACAGTCATTTTAAAACAGATGGAGTATATACTTCCTCTGTCCTTTATTAGATCCTTACAAACTTCAAAGGTATCAAAAAAAGTAGTTGTAGCAATGAGTTTTTAAAATACGTGTTATTTTTACATAATTATCCCTACATTATACTCAAATTTTCCCTTATTAGACCCTTACAATTTCACGGGTATCAACAAAGGCGTATGCAGCAACAAATTTATTAAAATTTGTATTAATTTTACATAACTATTCCTACATTTAATTATATAATAGGAACAATAAAATAAATGTGTTTCCCAATTATAAATATAATGGAGGTGTTTTTGTGAAGTCATTAATGAACGTGAAAGTTTGAAGAGAGTCTTATATCAAGGGACAACAAATATAGAAAGTGAGTCTTATAATTAAGGATAAAAGGAGTATTAAAAAGACAAGCTTGTGGTTTTCCATAGTTACTTTGTAATGGTCAGACAGAAAGAAATAATCAAAGATAAAGATAATACTCACTGGCAAGCGAATAATTCTTGACTGGGCAGAAAGGGATTTCCGAACTTCCTGTTTAATCCACCAATGAGCATAGGTTGAGAACTTAAAGCCCTTAGAAGCATCATACTTCTCTGTACTTCTTACAAGGCCGCGGCACCCTTCCTATAATCCAAGGAAAAATAGTTAAGTAGCTGATCACTAGAACCGTTAAAATTGCCATATATTCCATAGTTATTGCATATTTAGGAAAACAATCAAATAAGCATTGACATTTTGAAAAAGCAGCCATGTTATGTTGTACCGTATGTGCATTTCAGACACATTTATATTGGACACTTTGAAGACACTTCTATTTGTATTTTACCATTTTTTAAATTATTTATACTCTAGAGATCAGAATATCACAAGACTCGAAATAGATAAAAATTTATTTCGTCTGCAACTGCAATGATTCAGATCTAACTTTGAAAATATTAATTCTCCCTTTTGATTTCCTATTCATGTTTTCATATTAGGTTTTAAATTTATGTTCTGCACTATTGCTTTTTTGTATCTTATAATTTAAAAATGTCATAGCCCAGTGCCTATTCAAATTATATCTGTGGCGGGTGCTCCCTGTTATATGCGTACTTTCTAGAAATATATTATACAGGTGAAAATATACCTGGACTAGATCTTGCAGAGTCAACCCAGATCCCTGATATTTCTTAGCAATTGATATGACAAGTCGTATATTGCTTTTAACCATTTTTTCTTTGCAATGTACACCATAATTTAATCGTTTTCTTAGGGTCTTCCGATCTACTCCTGCCATTGTAGCCCATTGAGAAAACGTGGGCGGGCCACCACATTTTTCTGCAAGATCCTCTTGAAGTTTTTCGAGCATTAGCAGATCCTGAATTATATTTGTAGAAGAGGCAAATGAATTAGAAAACAAAAACAAAATAATAAAACTTCCAGTATAATTATGTTGATTTCTAAACTACAAACAATAATCCAAACAAAAAAAAAACCTGTCTAATCTATATAACTCTAAAGTATAACAATCTCCTAAGATGGAAAATCTTCCACCACTAACACATTAAGCATCATTTGACTCGCTATGATTAAATGCATAACTATTATTTAACATTCTTTCCTTTTCTGGCATTTCGAGATACTTTAAGAATGATATAGATATTAGTTTACAAATCATAAGATGAGCAAGCACTTTGTGAAGATTTAATGATGATCATTGGATAATTTAGGAGCATATTAACTATCAAGAGCATGGCAAGAATGTTCTAAACAAGGTTTTAAATTGCAGTTGCACTAACTATACTATTAGCATTGTGATCCTGTATTGCGGAGAATTGCAATCAAAAACCGATCAAATCGTGGTTGTAGACTTGTCTTTTATCAAACCTTTGTTCTAAGCACTAATGCAACATCACTAACATGTTAATCACCTTACCTGTATTCCTGCAGACAACTTAACTTCTTCCGATGCAGTAAGAAGCTTTGAAGATCTGGTTGTAGCTCTTAAGCAACGAAGTGGATCAGAAAAGTCAATGTCTTTTGTCTGAGCACGCTTTTTTCTACGGATGGGTCCACACTTAAAGGACACGAAATTAGTGGCAGCCTTGGCAGATGCCCTGACTCTTCTGGCTTTTCTTTCTGTTTGGCGGCCAGATCTTGCATCTATACTACCGGAAAGTTCTTCCTCGACTTCTTCAAGTTCCTCCGAGGTAGGATCCTCTTCGTCCAACTCCTCCTCTTGGCTTGAGCTAGTGCCAACATCTTCCAATATTTGCGGTCCTTCAGCTACAGCATCTTGTGCTTCCATATGTCGAAGCCATTTGAGAAGTAAATTTTCAGATGTGGAAGGAAGTTGTGGCCTAAACACCGGTTGTTGTTGTTGTTGTGGGGGTTTGTCTTTCACTAATAGAGCCGCATCCTTTGCAAGTTTTGCAGCCGCTTTGGCGAGAGCAAGCGCTTCAGAAGCAGCAGCAGCTATTACGGCGTCTTCATTAGTAAGAAGCGATTCCGCAGAAGTGGCTACTCTAAAGTTTTCCTAGTAAAAGAAGAAAAAAATGATTATCTAGGCGAGGCTGATAAACCTAACTGTATATGTGGAATGCATGGGTAAAGAAAATGATCGAAATGTTAAAAAGAGGCAATTAGTTACCTGAGAAGTGACATAGGACCAAGGTGTGTTTGCAGCATGGAAGTGATTATCATCGAACTCAAGAAGTGCGGTTGATGGTGCGGAAGGAGACAGAACACAGTGCGGGCGTAAATAGAAATTGCGTCTTAATTTAGCTGCAAAAGAAAAAGAAAGCATGAGCGAGTGAGAATAGAATAGAGGGTATAATTGGGAGAAAGAGTGTTACATTGAAGAATAATATGATGATGGCGTTGTGTAGGAATAGGGATAGGGATAGGGATAAGAGTTGAGAATGTGTTAAAGTGCGGCGATAAACAAGACATTCTCTCCCCTTGGAGGGTGGTTGTAGTTAGGTTAAGGATGAGAAATGTAATTGGGAGGTTTCATAGGGCGGAAAGAACAGAGTGCCAGTTAGTTAATTCAAGGGATAAAGGGGCGGTGTTTCTTCTTCTGTTCTTCCCGTTCCATTCGGATAAGAAACCATAACAAGAGGGTGAGGTCACTTCAAATTTTTTTTTTTATTCCTTTTTCTTTTTACTCAATCAACCCTCCTTAAATTATTAATTCCACTCCACTTTTTTATCCCCTTCCATACATTAATCTTTTCAATAAATATATAACAATTGATTTTCATTTTGAAGAATTGATTCTCAAGTAATTTTGAGGTGTTTAGTGTTTATAATTCAATTTTATTATGATAAAATCAATTTTATTAAATTCAATTCTGTCTATCGTCAATCCAAACACACAAATATATTTATGTGTTATCCCTATTCGAGCATCCACGTCCATAATTTTTTAAGGTGGTCTCACATATACCAATGTGTTTATTAGTGTTTTTAGCAAACAATCAAGAGTTTTAGTTTACTCGAAGAATCAAACTCGAAAAATTATTAAAGACACTTTGTGTTAAACTTTTGAGAAAAATATATTAATGTTCTAAGGTTTTTCAATGTAAAAAAGTGAAGGAAGTAAATACATAAGCGCTTGAATGAGATAAAATAATACAAAAGTAAAACAATTGTAAAAAAATGCTAGAATTAAGAGTGTGACGCATGTTCATACATTTTCACAAATTTTTTATCTATGTAATTTGGATGTGTGAATTCTAAAAAGAATAAAATGAAATGTGAATTCTCATTACACAAACGAAATTTAATTATATATTAGTTACATCAATAACTTTAGATAACAAATATTTCTCTCCATAATTCGACATTGTATCCTACTATGTGGATTTTTGTCTTCTGATGTGTTTTCACATGTCTTAGTTTTTGAACTGCTTCAAACTGTTAATATTGTAAAAAAAATGTCTTCAAGTTACCTAACCAAATCAGTTGAAAACTTCATTGGTCGAATTTGCAACTTGGTGTTGACAACATGACTTAGCTACCTACACTTAGTATTGATATCCACCTCATATCTCGCATTCATGTAGAAGAAGCTAAGTCAAAAATCTCATGCTAACAAATTCCCCCTAAAAATTTCATTTTCGGTCATATTTGCAATATGGCAGAAATATGATGTTTTTTAGTAAACATTATTCAAACTATTTTGCACACGTAATCGTCATCATGACTCCTATTACTTAGTCGCCATGTCAGTGATGTCCATGTACCTGCCATCATGATTCTAATTTTGAAGTCCATCATAGGGCACAAAAAATAATTGTATTAAATGAAAAAACCGTTAAGCAGTAATGATTTAAATCAAAAATTAAAACGCCAATGTTTTAATTTCATAGGGAAAACCAAAGAGTCTCATTCTAATAGTTATATAACTCTTTCTTCTTCTTCTTCCTTCCGTTTCACCATTTCATTCTTTCTGAACCCTAAGAACTTTAAGAACTTTCATCTTCTATAGTCACCATTCTCATCTTTATTCTACTTAAGTTCTAGAAAATAAAAGGGCAAATTCTTCTAGTACAATGAAGCAACCCTAAATCCCATTTGGTGTTGATATTCAGAGTCTCATCTATTCCGACAATCATACTTATGTTCCAAAACCTCCAATGAAGAAGGAAAAATTCATCATTTGGGCATCCCAGATACTAATTCCTTCTCTATTGTTGGCAGGTGTTGATGCATTCTTGGGTCATTTACCCATATCGTTTGTAAAACCTGCTAAATTGAGTGAATTCTTCCCTTGTTTACTTATTTTAAACCTCGTGCATTTGAGGATACAAGTTTTGAATTAGGGTTCATGGACCAACCTCACTTTGTATTCTATTTTTCTTCTTCCACCATTAGTGAAACCTATCTTAATTAGTTGAATATAGTGAAAAAGAAGAAAGGAAAAATCTAGCAAGATCAAAGCCTCTTTGACCTAATTGAGTTATCTAGAACTATGCCAAGATACAATGTCAACATGCTCATATGTGCCCTTTATTTTTGGGAAGGTTCAACTAATACATTCCAGCTTCGTTGTTGGATGGTAACTTCTACTCTCTTTGATGTTACTGTTATTACAAGTCTTCGACAAACAAGGGAAACTTTCGACCTTTTTGTGAACCAATTTTCATGACCCCACCAATCTTGAGATAGTGAGATCCCCATGAACCGTGCTTGTGCCACTTTCGAATTTCTAATATTTATCCTATGATGCTTAAAAGGAAGGGGAAGAAATATAAATAACCCTGCGTGTAAGTGTTTTCCCTACAAATGTAAAGAGATATGGAATCGGAGGTTGGTTATACTAAGAGAAGATATTAACACCCTGAGTATCTATAGTACTATATATGAACCTTTTGTACATTTTTTACTATCAGTCATTTCATCTACTTAAGTTGTTTACTGTTGATTAGGAAAGTCTAAACCTATGGGTGAGAATGAGAATATGAGATGTTTTTATTGTTTTTATTTTATGAAAGGTATGGGGACCTGAGGGGTTTTATTTAAAGGTGTGGTTGCTGAGATCTTGCAATCTTATGCCTACGTATTCTCAAAAGAAAATTGAGAAATCAGAGCGTTCGTAATTCCACCTGACTATGGGTGGAATTTGTTTCTTTTCAAAGCTCAAGATGATGAAGCTAAAAAGGTATTTGTGTATCTTGTGCAAAGCCCAAGATATGAAGCTATACGTTTTGTTGGTTTCAAAGAAAAAATAAATTGTCATTTTAAAGGGAGATATCCCACCTATTCATCATAAACATTTAAGAATGATATCATAAGGGAAGAAACTTTGAACTTGGATGTTAAAGAATCCTAAGCAATGTCATATCTTCCTTTATGAGTCTTTGCATGCCAAGAAAATGACCTTAACTTGGATATAGTATCAACAAGTGTGTCACTTACATCACTTAGATGAAAGAAAAGTTTTGGACCATGCTAAGAGAAGGACTCCAACTTGGATTTTGAATCAACAAGTGTGCCACTTACATCACTTATATAGAAAAAAAACTTTAATGTTTGATTTTGAATTGTGGTGTATAGAAGAGATATCTTCCTACAAATATGACTAAATGTCTCATCTATGGGGAGAATTTGAATTATTTAAGTATCTTGTTCAAAGTCCAAGATGTTGAAGCTAAAATGTTTATATCTTGTTCAAAGCCTAAGATGCTGAAGCTAAAATGTTTGTATCTTGTTCAAATCCCAAGATGTGAAGCTAAAACGTTTATTTGTATCTTATTCAAAGCCCAAGATGTGAAGCTAAAAAGTTTATTTGTATCTTGTTCAAAGCTCAAGATGTGAAGCTAAAACGTTTATTATAGCCTGAGAGGAGCCTGATTTAACTAAGAGGTTTTAAAATGATGGTTTTTGTATGAAGCCTAATGCGGAGACTATGGTGAAGTTGATTTCATCCAAGGGTAACTAGGATTTGAACTAAGTTGTAGTTGAGGGAACCCTAATGTTTTAACTAAGTCTAAACTAAGAATGAGGTGTTACAAATGTCAAGAGAAACTTAATATGAATAAGCATATGAAAAGTTTTTAACAAGTATAGACATGAATTGAAGGTGAATGGTCTTACACTCTTATAGAGGCCCGTGTCTAAGCATGGTTGAATTGAAAAAGTGGTGGGTCTTATACTATTATAGAGGCCCAAAAGTTTTTTTTTTTTTAAATTTGAATGTCACTAGGGCTTTGTTTGATGAAAGTTGAAGATTGATTTTTGAAAGATTGAATGTTTTGAGAAATTGAAGAAAGTTTTGAGGAGGAGGGTAGGGACTTACACTCTAATAGAGGCCCAAAAGGTTTTGAAAATGTGATGAGTCTTACACTCTAATAGAGGCCCACGATGTTTGAAAATGTAATGGGTCTTACACTCTAATAAAGGCCCAAAAGGTTTGAAAATGAACATGTGAATGTGCATCAAACAAAGAAATATATTTATCATGGTAAGAGTTTATGAAGGAAATACTTGAACATGTAAGCAAAATTTTAATCCATGGGAGCAATTACAGGGAAGTTCAACAAGTATATGAATTCAAGATGAATCGAGGATCCAATGAATATAGTAAGGGTAACAACCAAGCATACTTGAATAAAAGGACATGTTCATGACAATAACATGTGGATAAAGGTGTAAACATACAAGAGATGGCATGTGAGAATACTTAAAGATGAAAATTTTAAAATTTAAACATCATGTGTACAAGTTAAGGCATTACTTGAATCATTAAGCATGGATACAAGTTGAACATGTTAAGACAAGTTGGTGGCAACCAAACATGGATATTAGGGTTCAAACATGGTCATAAGTAAGTAAGAACATCACAAAGGTCTAAGCATACAACATGTATTCAAAATCACTTTTAAGACAAAATTCAAGTGTATAAGGACACATAAACATGGTAAAAGCAACACAAAGGCAAACATGCACATCATGGTTATGTAAGCATGGAGAGAACCTCTCATGTTAAGGCATAATAGTTAAGCAAAAGCTCATGGTATGGACAAAGTTCAACATACACTTATAACATGTAAACATGCATCAAAAAGGCATAAAACTAAAGTAATAGAATAATGTACAAGTTCATAAGGTCAAACAAAGTTTACGCAAAGTTTATATGCTCTATACAAGGCAGTCTATACAATAGAAGATAAAGGAATACTCAAAAGAATCAAGAGAACTTCATGGAAACCCTAAAATGACCACGTACTTTGAACATTCATAAATGTGTCAAAAATAATTATTTTTGGTGTTTTATTTTCACAAACAGAAAGTAGGCATTATCATGAACAATTTTCAAAAAGAATGGGTTCAAAATGATAAAAAAAATGAGAAAGTTATGATTAAGTGGAAATGCAAAGAAAAGTGAAGAAACAAGTCATTAAAAATAATGGGGAATGGTCCCCATGGGTGTTGAACCCAGGTTACCA